TATAAAATGATATAGTATCATTGGATTCAAATTTAATTCCATCCATTACAGTAACCCACTTGTAACCTACTGTACAGCAGAGCGACATCCACGACTTACCCGCTTTTTTATATCTTGAAACTGAAATTACCAATTTGTAAATATATTTATATAAACAATATTAGTGGTAAATCATTTATATGAGCCTAGTAGATTATTTAATAGAATTTTTTTAAATAGTCATATGTTTTTGAAGCAAATAMATTTTAAATGTAATAACTTTTTTTTTTAAATTTTTTTTGGAATAAGTATATTTCTTAAATTATTTATTAAGCTTATAATTTTCACAATTTTTGTCATTTTATTACCATTGATTTTCCAGATCTTTCTATTGGTCTGTATTTTTTTTTTACATAATTATTATTTATGCTGTACAGGCCACTTAAGCATTTTGTATATTTCCATCAAGTTTCTCTATTCATTCCAGCCCAATGACATTAAATTGTTCTAAGTAATCAGTACCTGAAAATTATCCTCTTTTACCCTGTCAACGAATTGCTGGCGAGGTCTTCCCCTTGGTCAGTTTTCACACTCAAAATATAAGTGTCCCAAAAAAGTTCAATGCTAGCATAGTCATAATGTGTACTGAGCCTTACAACTTATTTGTATTTTGGAAAGCATTGTGTCAAGCATGAAGCATTCCAGAAAAAAATTAATACAAACATATGAAAATAATCCAAGTTTTACAATAATGTCTATACAAGTATGATATACTAGCAAAATATAAAAATTTGGTTTTTGTCTAAAGGTTTTATTTTCATTTGGTTTTTTGTATATCATGATAAATTTATTAGTTTAATGTCAAGTGATCAAGTGACAAGTGATTGTTCATGAACCAGCAATAGACCTATTAAAAATAGTTTAAAAGCTGTGGGAAAATTTTGGGGGGAAACATTGTTAGGAAAAGATATTCAGTTTAGTCCAACTATACTTATTAATAGCAAGAAAAAGAAAAAAGTTAACAAAAAAGATACCAATTAACATTTTTAGGAAAAGATGGCATACTATTTAGGTTCAATCAGCTGCAAGTACATCCGTCATCTTTTTAACTATTTTTAGGAACTTCTATAGCAGCCACTAGCTAAGCAGTTTACCCAGCAAAATGCAATACATAACATGGTACAATATTCAACAATTGATTTTAAAATTTTAAATACTTGGTAGTATTGTAGGTATCTATAGAACATACAGTCCACCTAAATACCTAATATTTATATAATTAATTAATAAGTCCATCGTTCAAGTTCCAATGATCAAAATTCAAAAGTATTAAGTAGATAACATAATTTTTTGATGATAGACGATGCTCATAATCATATTTTTGCAGCAGAATTCTTGTTATATTTCTTCAACAAATTTTCCAAAATGGCAAAATATAATGGTTGTAAAATGGATAGAATAATTTTGAATTATATTACTTAAACTGTTTGATAAATTTGCAAATTTTATTTTTAGTATAACTTCATGACAAATTATAGTACAACTATAGTTAAACATTAATTTATTTTAATTTTAAAATCATTGTCATTTTAAGTTAAAATAATGGGCAGTAGCTYTTTATTTTTGTAGAAAATCATATAATAAGAAAAATATCMCTAATACATTTGCATAATATTATTTTATGTTTATTTTAAACTATTATTCTTACTATGTATTATATTTATGTTATTAATTAAAAATATTCTTACAATTTAAGTATAACAGTCTAAAGCGGCAGTATAGGTTGATGTGTTTGCATTTTGATTGAACATGTTTAAACAAATATAAATTCACAGCTGGTGATTTAAAAAAAGTAGTGTTGTTTACTTTTCACATTCATATTTTAATAACAATTTATTTGTTAAATAATAAATAGTTTTAGTACTATAAATATGTGGTTTCTAAGCTGTAACATACTACTTATCAAACAGCAGTACAGTTATTGGCCACAATTATTACATGGCTGTTCCATAACAGAGCAGTCAATGCAGAAAGTAGCTAAGAAACTTTACAAGTGACAGATTCCGTTTCATACGTATAAATACACAACAAAATAAGACATGTCATATACTACACAAATTTAAATATTATAAATATAAAACAATAGATATAGAACAATCATAAATTAATTACAACTAAAATTATATTATTGTTATAATGAATTTAAGAAAATTATCTTAAAAACACCGTAAATAATTATTCTTATGGGATAGTTTCAAATTTATTTTTACCTGCTAAAAAAATTATAAATGCATTTACATAGCACTTAACAATATATAATAAAATAAGTATTGTATTCGATTTTATAGCATGGCATTTGTTTTCTATCAAAACATTAATTACGTTTTTATACTTAAAAACTAGACGTCTAGATAAGTATATTATGAAATTTGTAACCATTCATAATATTACATAAGTGATGAAAGTTGAACATATTCACCCGTCAAATTTTTGATGAAAAAAATTTAATTTTAATGTCTTAATAATTCAAGACTGTTGAGGAATGAATATAAATAATAATAAAAATAATATATATATATAATTAAAAGCTTATTGTATCGGATTAATTCAATTATTGTAGTATATTATATTACTATTAATATAATTTGCTCATAATGTATCTATTTTCACTGAACATTATTAGTTGCTATATTAATAATAAATATGTTGAGTTTCTATTAGTTAATTAATTTTATGCTGGTATATAAGTGTTAATCAGTGGAATAATTCTATTTCATTTAATTTATTTCGTAATCTTAAAAAAACATTATTATATTTTATTCAACAGAAAAAAATTTTTTATTGTTAATTTAAATGTGTGTATATTGTCASCAACACTTGTACCTATAGCATTGTTATGCATGGTTCATTAAATATGAATAAGTGACCTATGATTAGACCAATACATTTTATTCAACCATTGAATTAGTAATTTGTTCATACAATCCAGCATTAAAATAATAATCTTAATTTGGATGAGTCAGTTTTGAATACTACAATTATTAATATATTTTTCATTAATAACTTATAAGTAATAGATCAACTGTTTTATTTTATTTTATTTTTAATCTTAAGGAAAGTTTGAAGCATTATGTTTCCCGAATAAAAAATATTATTCAGACTTGCAATTTTACATATTCTGTTAATAATTCTACCAAAAGTATTTTTATAATGCATATTGTTAAGTTTCTTTAAGAAACATAGAACTTATTTTAACCCTAAATATATTAACCTCAATGATAAAAAGTAAAGTTTATTTAAAAACCAACAAAAAATATACTAATAGTAATAATAACAACAGTCAAATATTTATAAGATATCACAATTAATACTGGAACTAATAGTTTACATTTTAAAATTTACAAATCATCCATATTTTGATTTTCAAAAAATTACTATTAAATGGTATTATTTAAAATTATGAGTACAGGTAAATCATTGAAAATATTTCAGTATAAAATATCATTAAAATTAAAATTAAAAAGGGCATTCAAAAAAAATTGTAATTAATTATTTCGATTGAAATAGATGAAGGGTTTGTTACATTACAAGGTTGACTTAATTTGAGGATTCCGTGTTTATGCAGTCCTATGATAACAAAGCACAAATTAAATATAAAAATAAAAACATTTTAATTTGTTCCAATACTCACCCAGTAGCTCTACAAAAACTGTAATAGCATATTTTCTATTAGTTATGTGAATAGGGCAAATATTAGTRAACATCAAATGTGAAATATTGTTAGGAGATTGTTTTAAAATATTGGATATTATTTCTTTAATATCAATAGATAGTCGATGAAATTCTTCAACTTGTTTATGAATACTGCAAATTAGTAGAAAAACATAATTTTGTTTTACAATATAAATTTGTATTAACCAAAACATTTACTTTTGAATATCCTGCAAATTATTTTGTCCAAATTGATTCAACATATTTTCTTGGTCAATGTTTATTTCAACATGATCAATTAGAGACTTTTCAGGTGGTAACAATTGAGGTAATCCCGATTCTGTTATTATAGACAATGAAGGCATAGGACAAATATTTTCAGTATTGAATGGAGGCCCTTCAGTAGAGTTGTGTTGTTCAATAAATGTTTTACCATTTAAAAGTTTATCAACTTCACTAAGAGATGGAAATGCCATAAGATGTTGTGGTATATCTATATGAGATAGTTCAGGACCAACCAATGTTTTATGGGCTACTAAACTTTGATTCACTCTATAATTTATTTTGTCTTTAAATTTCTTCCACTTAGTCTGATCAATTTTTGAGATGGGTGAAATTTCTCTTAAACTATCTTCTAAATTATTATTTATCTGAAAAAGGAATAGTATACTTTTGACTAGAAAATTATTAAATTATTCTAATGCTACTAGTGCAACGATAACTTAATTATATTTATGTTGATGGAAAAAATGATGTATACCTCATTAATTGTATCTCGCCACACTAAACTATTATTGGTTAAACCTAGAATAGAGTTTGTTTGATAATTATTATTAAAATATTTAATTATTTCATAATCCTATTAAATAATAATTATATTAATTCTTATTTGACTAAATTAGAATAAAAAAAAATTACTAAGTATAAAAATGTTGCTCTAAACATAAATTGTATCTTATAAAAGTAGGTTCTTAAAGTAAAATGTTAACCAAACCAGAAAACATTATTTTGGTTAACTGTTTGTTTAATAAATTAYAATTTTTTAATAATAACTTCACATTGTATGCCAGATATGTACTTGTAATTGTTACTTACATTCTTCAACTAAAGGAAGCAGAGTTAAATGCGGTAATGAATTGTTTTTGCAATGGTTATAAATACTGTAAAAACACAACTTAGATTAATATAAAAAATACTATTTTAAAAATTTCATTATAAAAATAAATAACACAACAATTCTATAACTATTTTATTATTTAATATATTATTTTGTTAATTATTTTGATATGATGATAGTTAATAACTGTTATATTTTACAAATAAGATAGATCAAAATAATAAAAAAGGAATTCATAACAATATTTTGCACATTTTATATTTATTTTAGAAGATTTTG